ATTTAAACAAAATAAAAGTAAAGAGACAACTAATAACGGTGGTGAGGGAGGAAGAAAATCCTACAGAAGGATCAAGTTAAGGGGAATTCCTTTAGTGGAATTCTAAACAGGAGCTTTAGGGAAAAGGCAAGAGGGTAAGCACTGTGCCTCATTCAGCTTTGCAGACCCTGAACTGCAGCGTCTTTGACAAATACTGGACTCGACACATATTGACATGAAATGAATGAAAGATGTTAATCCATCCTCTTTTAAGGATTTTTATGCATGAAGATTCTATAGTAGTTTTCTTTCTCTTCTAAACTAACAGTGGTCAATGCCATAAGTTCTATTATTAATTGGAACACTCTGAACATAGTTTAAGTCCATAGAGAACGAGATATAGCTCATTATTGCACTCAGTAAACATATTTTGTTTATATTTATTCTGGTTCTTCCCCTGTCAGAGATAAAAAACAATTGGTCAGTCTAATTATTTTTAACGAAAGAACATTTACACATTCTTTAGTGTTTAATCAAACTAAACAATCTCTTTCCTTTTAACTTTTGTTCTCCATCTTAAATTGAATAATTGTGTTTGTTGGAGACTTCTCTAATCTTTGAAAAATCATTTTTAAATTCAAAGACTCTAATGAGAAACAGGACTTTTAAACTCATATTCAATGACTATTTTTTCCATTTCTTCTGGGCCTGGTTTTGTGCTAGACACTTCCATTTTTTTTTTTTTTTTTAATTTCTTATTGAGATAGGTAAGTTTGGTGATGTTTTACACATGAAGCAACTAACTTAGTTTCAGGAAATATAACCAGTTCATACAGATTACAAATGCCAGAAATAAGATTCAAATTCAGATTTTCTGATTCCAGTGCTAGGAGTCACATGATCAACAATACTATTAGAGCATTTAAATTCCAGCTTTTGCACATCAGAGTAATAGTGGTAATTCGATACCATTATTTGATTATTAATAATAGAACAACATCGATGACTCAACGGAGGACCAGAAAATAGATTTCAAAGCCTAAAAACAGAACTTGCCCAACCACCATATTGAATGGTGCCGCATCTAATGCTTTCAAGGTTCTAGCATTATTCACAAAATTAATAGCTTAATTACTGTATCTTCATTTTCAAACAGATAATATTGCCTTAATTATCTATGGATGCACAACAAATTACCCCAAACCTTAGTTAGAACAACATTTACTATCTCATAGCTGCTGAGATGGCTCTGGCTTAAAGTCTTTCATAAGGCCACAAGGTATAAGCTGGGGCTGCAGGCCTCACGTGAAAGATGGGCTGTGAGATTTGCTTTCAGACTTATCCATGTGGTTGTTGATAGAATTCAGGTCCTCATGGTTTGTTTAGTGGAAGGCTCCCCTTCCTTGTTGGCAAGAGACATCCATTCCTTGCCACTTGGGCCAACTCTCCATAGGAAAGCTTATAACATGGCAGCTGGTTTCTAGCAAAGCAAGTGGAGGGAGCTACAGCAGGTAAGGAAGACAGAAGTCACAGTCTTTTGGTATAACCTAAGCATGAAATTCACATCTCATCACGATATTATATTCATTGGAAGTTAGTCTCTAGGTCCAATGTACACTGAAGAGAAGCTGATTGCCTCAGGGGTGTCAATATCATGAGTTGAAGGTTATTAGGGGCCATCTTTCTGATTGCCTACCATAAATATTAACCAATTTTTGAATATGTGAAAGGACAGTTTTTCTGTATTTCTTAAGTAATTTACCCACTTGTTGAACATTATTCGTAAGATAAAAATCATTCTTGTATCACAAGGCTTTCAAAGCCATCAGACAATTGGCCACTCTGATACAATGGATGGGGTGCTGACTCCAGACTTGAGGAGGTAGAGGGCAAGGGACTTTCCTTACTCCTAGTTCTATCTAAAGTGAGTCTTGGAGGAAAGATATGTATTAGCCAATGAGGAAGGGAATGAGGAAAGTGATAGAGGGAGATTTTCCAAATAGAAGGAGAACCATGTGCATACGAAGTTTTGGAGATGAGAAAGAACACAGCTTGTTCAGGGGAATACTTTCTTAATCAATTATGTCAAACATTTATAGCCATAATCTTAGAGTTTGTGGTTATTCTTAATGAAGTACTGTTAAACTGCTCAGAAAAACTCTTAAATAGCCAATTTGTGATTATTTCTATTTTATCAAAGTAGTTTTCTAATTTGATCCTGTATGATGTATTGGATCTAAGAACTCTAAATTTTTCCTGTCCACATGCACCAACCATATTGCCCTCATCCTGGCAATTTTGCTTCTCCCTGAGGTAATATCCTAAGGCTGAGTCTGCAGAATACCAGGTGCAAAACAGAGTTAACAATTATAAATAAATTTGGTCAATCTGATTAATCCCCCGTAATAATTAAACTGCAAGGGGAGCCTGGGTGTCTCCGTTGGTTAAGCATCTGACTTCGGCTCAGGTCATGATCTCATGGTTTGTGAGTTTGAGCCCCGCGTCAGGCTCTGTGCTGACAGTGTGAGCCTCCTTTGTATTCTGTGTCTCCCTCTCTCTGTATCCCTCCCCCACTAGTGCTCTGTCTGTCTGTCTCTCTCTCTCTTTGTCTCAAAATGAATAAATAAACTTTAAAAAATCAGAAAAAAACGGGGCGCCTGGGTGGCGCAGTCGGTTAAGCATCCGACTTCAGCCAGGTCACGATCTCGCGGTCCGTGAGTTTGAGCCCCGCGTCGGGCTCTGGGCTGATGGCTCAGAGCCTGGAGCCTGTTTCCGATTCTGTGTCTCCCTCTCTCTCTGCCCCTCCCCCGTTCATGCTCTGTCTCTCTCTGTCCCAAAAATAAATAAATGTTAAAAAAAAAAATCAGAAAAAAGGAATTAAACTGCAAATTAAAATATCTTATTTTACTGTGACACACAGACACACAACAGAGTAATGGTGAAGAGATGAGATTCTTTTGACCCCCTTGCTTCATTTAGGCATTGGGTCTACTGGTAAATGGTTAATAGTAACATCCTTCATGTAATTAATATCAAGTACTCTGATAGGCAGGATAAAACTTCTTCAGTTAGTATTTTAAGAGGATGCCTAGTATATAATCTCCATGTGCATACAGTAAACTGATGTATTGTTTTTCAGGAAGGATGTTAGAATAAATGACTACATACGACCTTAGGATAGGGATCTGATTGTTATGAAGCAGACATACACATTAAATTGAATTTTTTTACTTTAGTTTTTATAATTTTGATTATGTAGAATTTTGAACATTTGAACCCTTAACCCATGACCAGTCTTGCCCCACCTACACCTCTAACTAACCTCCTCCCAAATTATTTTTGAAGTTTATTCCAGACATCCTATCATTTTGTCTAAGAATATTTCAGCATATACCTCTAACAGAGAAGTAGATGCTGATTCTAAACAAAACCATAATAATACTTTCCTTCTTGAAAAACTCAGTAATTTCTTAGTATTATTAAATAATTAGTCTTTATTCTTAATTTTACTTTCTTTTTATATTGAGAGAGATAGATGGATAGATGATTTTGGCCTGCAGGAGATATTTGGAAAAGTCTGGAGACATTTTTGGTTATAATGGAGGGGGTGGGGTTATAGTACTGGCATCTAGTGTGTAGAAGCCAGCCAGGTATGCTGCTAAATACACAGAACAGCCCTACATAATAAAGAATTATCTATTTCAAAGTGTCAATAGTGCCATTTGGAGAAACATAGATGGATAGATGGATAGATAGCTGAATAGATACGTAGGTAGGTGGGCAGGTAGGTAGGTAGATAGATAGGAATAGCAGCTGTAACAGACCCAAGTTTATAAAGGGGAGAGATACAAAATATCTGTGGTATCAGGTCATGTCAGTAACCGCACAGAAGGCAAAAATAGATCTAAAATTGAAAAGATGATTCAGAGTGTGTAATTATTCCAATCAAAATATCCCATAAACCAGAGGAAATTTTGTGACTTTTTTAAAAAGAATGGAGAATGCTAAGTAATATTAATGGAACATCTGTTGCAGGTGTGGATAAAGAAGGTCAGGAAAGTATGTTTCTTATGTGTGCAGCAGAATCAAAGGCAGCAATGAACAAAATGCTTAGTAAATACAGATAGAACATGTGTTGGGCAGCTAATGAAAAACCTAGAAAAAATTATTTTGAATTTGCTAAACAATGATCTGTCAGGAATGGCTTTTTTTTATGCTAAATGCTATGAATTTTCACAATTGTGACATATTTTTAAGATGAAAATTGATAGTATTTCTTTACTGCAGAAAGAGCTATGCTCATTATTCTCCTCACAGAACCCCTGGCAATAATTTACCTAGCAGAGCAGCAGTTCATGCAGATCAAAGCTGCATTATTTAAGTGTGTCCAGGGGGCAGATTTTAGCTCCATATGCCTTATACTTTAAAGGAAAAAAAATATATCGGTTTGCTTCTTGAGAAACAAAATATGTTTAATAGGTGCTTACTGCAAGTCTAGCAAAACTCACCCGAACAACTTCCTATTATCTGGGAAGAACACGCTCCCTACCCTAAATACTCTAAAATCTGGGGGGAGTGCGGAACAATTGTGGGAATGTAAATCTCTTCAAATGAACAGCAGTGTATTTTCATTTAAATTAAACCCGAATGTGAACTAGATTCAGGAAAGGAAATGGCAGAGAGGGAGATAGTCTGGAGTTGCTATAGAATGTGCCTGGCTGCTTTAGCTCCCAGACAACTGATGAAGCGCAACTCTGAAATTTCAGGCCATTTGTATACCAAGCTCCTCCTTTTCTGTAGTCTTCTCTTCTATTGGTAAAATTCTTTTGCAGGGTCATGTAGGGATCCCACCCCTTCTCTGTGTTTTCACTCTGAAGCTCTATACAACTTTACACCTGAATGAACGCCAAACCTCACTGGATATATAAAGGGAACCTTGAAGAGGAATTTCACAGTTACAGTGCAGAAGCAGAGGGAAAGGAATTAACCAGCTCTCCAGCCAAGCAAATCCTCTCCTCACCATGCTTCCTCCTGCCATTCATTTCTATCTCATTCCCTTTGCATGCATCCTAATGAAAAGCTGTTTGGCTTTTAAAAATGATGCCACAGAAATCCTTTATTCACATGTGGTTAAACCTGTTCCAGCACACCCCAGCAGCAACAGCACGATGAATCAAGCCAGAAATGGAGGCAGGCATTTCAGTAACACTGGACTGGATCGGAACAGTAAGTGTGTTTTACTTGCATGGATTTTGGTTTTTTTTTTTTCTCTTTTGGTAGCATTAGCTCACATTCCTATAGAATCGTTTCATTGCTAACTAACCTGAACCATGTATATTTTGCTAAACAATCTGGGAGTAATCTACTGCATGTGTAGATTGGCATTCTTCCCTACAAAGTTAATGTAACTAAAACAGTGATTTGATAATGCAGGCGAGGACTTAAGTTCTATCAAACATCCAAAAAAGAAAATGTTTCTAGGAATTAAACTGTTGCTTTTTTAAAAATCATGCAAAACGAGAGATTTTAAAAAAGTGTTCTTCTACGTAGTGTACATTCGGGTTGTTTTCTGTGTATTTCAGGACATGTACAATTGTGGTAAAGTGCATAAACGTGACTAACCAAAGTATGTATAGGAAATCACAAGCTTTCCGGGAAAAAAAAATGGCTCACAAGGATTTCTAAAATATGTCTAGTGAAATGGTTGAAAGTTTTGATGATGACCAATGTAAAAGAGAGATGTAACTAAAAATATTGGAGAATCCTATTTTTCCAACATAATTACTTATTAACCAGATCCAAATTGGGCTAATTGTATACTTCTGTGAAAGAGTGGGGAAACTTTTATAACTTTAGAGATTTAAAATAATAGCAGTACAATAATATTTTGTACAGGGAGTATTTGTTTTCTTTTCTGTTTGCTGAATTGACACACTAATCAAACATTACTTAGAGGGATTCAAATTTCTTCTCCTAACTTTTGCTTCACTCCTTTCAAGAAAAGTTCACATGCTAACAAACAGGTTTTCATAGAGACACAGAAAAACAGTGCACGGGAAATTTTACACAAATCTTTTGCTCCACCTCAATTCCATTCAACTGCTAGAAGTAATTTTGACCTTTGAGAAGTCCAAGCAAATAGGGCTACTAATATCTTTCTAAGAAAACCAAGGTGTTTTCACTTTCTTGAGGATAGTTGCTCTTATGTACAAAGGCGGTATCTGATTATTATTAGATTACTGAGCAATGTGGTGGGTATTCATGGTCAACGAACTGTCACTGCAAAAATGCCAAATCGGTATATACTTGGGGAACAAAAAGCTAGGCAAGTCAAATCCATCTCCGGCTCTTTCCAGGTGCATTCCTAAGGCAGATGCAGGAAGGGAAGCTGGAATCAGAATGAGACAGGCAGAGCACACTGACCAGTCAGCTAGTTTACCCTTTCACTTTAATCCCACGCTCTATACGGATGTATGTGTGTCTACATAAATTGTTTTACAGCTACTGCATCCCTTTAGGCTATGTCTCCCACCTCAGAGCTACTGAGGCCGAGAGACAAAGTCCAACTCCTCATTCAGGATCTACTTCAAATTAGCCTTCAGGATTCCACTTCAAGGCAAGACTACTTCACCGGTCCTTAGCATTTTTATTTTTTAAATTTCAGCAGTCTATCCTTATAAACATTTTTTTTTTCTGGTTAACAAACTTTGATTTCTTTTCGAGATTGTTACAGGCAATTTTCCTCAAGTTTGGGTAACAAAGCAATGGAAAGGAACACTCAAACATTTCAAGATTAATTTTTGCTTTAATTGCATAAGGCATGTAACAAGAAACAGCTGATTAGAGAACATACTTAACAGATTCAAATAACTAAACAAAAAGTTTGCCATGACCAGCCTTCAGGAAACGAACACCATGGTTCCTTTTGCAGTTGTAAATCAGACATGTTAGGCATTTTTCTGCCATAAAATTCATGGAAATGTAGCCAAGTTGTTATGGCAACCATACGTTCCTGATTTAGGGGCTTTTATATTCTTCAAATTTTGAGTTGTAGTGACATTTTGCCTTTCAAACATTTTAATATTTGTTTTTAAAAGATAGCTTGGGAATTTAGCTTTAAAACGTAGTTATTAAGGTTGATATGCAAAATGTCAGACTTTGTACACACATGTATGTATGATTCTCTGCAGCTGAATTTTATAATTGAAACAAAATATAGGGAGAGCATACACATTGTACACAATATTTAAATACTTTTCACATTTTCCCAGGAGATTTTTTTTTAAAACCTAATTAAAAGCACTTGCAGATATTAACTGATATGACCTGTGAGAAAAAGAACATTATAGTCTCTTAGCTCACTGAAGAAGGAATATTTACACAAGTGTAAGAACTGTTTAACCCTTACTGGGGAGTAAGACTAAAAAACAATGGGATTTTCAAACACTTCAGTAAGCAATTAATTAATGTTATCCATGAAAACAAAAATCAGGCCTAGTTCATTTTATTTCAAAAATGTACAGCCATGTGAACTGATCATTTTCACGGAAGTTATCTCTACACTCATCCAGGCAGATTTTTGCATTGTGAAAATGAAATAGATGTTCCCTTTCTATTTAACAATTTGCTATCATTTGGATACAGTTTTTGCCATTGCAGATGCCTTTGTTGTTGTTGTTTTTGAAGCGTTCATTTGCTTCTTCTCTTTAATGCACGCTCTTCCGTTTCCTGTAGGTCGAGTTCAAGTGGGTTGCCGGGAGCTGCGTTCCACCAAATACATCTCCGATGGCCAGTGCACCAGCATCAGCCCCCTGAAAGAGCTGGTGTGTGCTGGTGAGTGCTTGCCCCTGCCGGTGCTGCCCAACTGGATAGGGGGAGGCTATGGAACCAAGTACTGGAGCAGGAGGAGCTCCCAGGAATGGAGGTGTGTCAATGACAAAACACGTACCCAGAGAATCCAGCTTCAGTGCCAAGATGGCAGCACGCGCACCTACAAAATCACAGTGGTCACCGCCTGCAAGTGCAAGAGGTACACTCGGCAGCACAATGAGTCCAGTCATAACTTTGAGAGCATGTCGCCTGCCAAGCCAGCCCAGCATCACAGAGAGCGGAAAAGAGCCAGCAAATCCAGCAAGCACAGCCTGAGTTAGAACTCAGAATTTCGACACCAGACTGGCTAGTAACCATCTGCTTTACAGATCTGATTGCTTGGAAGACTCAAGCCTGCCATTGCTATTTTCTTACTTGAAAATAGATGCTTTGTGCTTTGATCAAACCCACCAAGCTGTCCTAAGTATCAGGACCTTCTCTGGGAATAGCTTTTCTTTTTCAAGTTTTTCAAGATGTATGCATATCCTTGAGTGCAATTTGCATTTAAATTCCATGCAACCTGTAGTTTTAATTCCCCATGGTTCTCGAAAGACTGGTGATACTATATACATCACTGAATCATTACTTTTTAAAGCAGAAAAGGGCTTCTTGGTTATCCTCCACTCCCCAGCCCATCCCCCACCCCACACCATCCCCAGCAAAACCCTTTCATAATTAAAGAGTTAAAAAAAAATAGTTGCCATGAATCTTCACAGTAACACTTCAGAAAGGTGCTTTTTTTTTTTTTTTTTTTTTTTTTTTTGGTAATTTTCATGGGAAGTTTAGCAGCCATGAGTGATCTCCTTTGAAAGAGTGAAAGATATTGTGACATTTCACTTCAAAAATAAGCCCTGTAGCTTTTTACAGTCTCATAGTATGAAATTATACCCTGCATGCTGACCCTTGCTTACAATGGAATGCCAGAAATGCATGGCAGCAGCTAATAAGTAAAACTGATGAACTATTTATTTGTCAATGTTATTATTTAATGAGCTTTCACATGTGATTTTTTTTCAAACTGTTAATTTTTTATGTTTTGAAGCTTTTCCATGTACCTAAATATTTTCCTGTATGATTTGTGGTTGATCTAGAAATATGAGAATACATGTAGATATGTAAAATAAATATTTTAGTCTCCTTTTTACATATATGTTTTATCATGAACTTTATCAATAGTATGGATCCTTTTAAATCAATAAGATGCTTTGTAAAACTGAAATATGTAATACCTTTTTGTTTAATCTGTGCAATCCGAAGGTGATTTAACCTTCAATTCCATCAGTTTCTTTTAACGAAAATAAACACTGCTAAAAGTTGTTGTCCTTGCCTTTAACATGTATGAAAAAGGTGCACGTATACCAAAATTAGAATTTATGTATCAGAATAATTGATTTCTTTGATAAGGCACATTCAAGTTTTGAAAAAAAAAAGTTCTTCAGTAACAGAGGAGAGAAAGAAAGACAATCTTTTCAGTAAAGGGATGATTTAAAAAGTTGGGTGACAATCCAGTTGTAGTGAGTTGTAATAATATCATATGTATATACACCTGGGATGCCAAGTCTGCTGCCCATTATAATCACCTGGAGGAGATAATTTAAGACCCAATGTCCAGGCTGGCATCCAAATTACATCATACTTTCTGGGGGTAGAACTCAGATATCAGCAGATTTTAAGGTTTTCCAGGTGATTCCAGCATGCAGCTAAGTTTGAGAAAGGACTTGTGAAAAAACTATTATCATCTGTTAGGGGAATTTTGAATACTACTGTGTGCCCCTCCCCCACCCCCGAACAACAAATAAAACCAAATAAAAACAACAAAGGAAACAAAAACTAATTTTTCAGTATTTTCGAGTCTGACATGTTGAAACATTAAGCAACCTAGCCCCAGTCTTGAACCAGATTGTACGGTTATATAACTGATGTGCCAATTCAATCAAATGATTGAGCCCATCTCTCCACATGAAAACCAAAGGGGCTTGGTTATGGGCTAAGATCTTCTGGGTTTTCCCTTTTGGATTTTGAACACAAAGGAGTCTTTGGTCCTCTTCTGTAGCAGGTTGTGCTTTTGTAATTGTGAATTTAAACGTCACATGCATATCATACATGGCATTATAAATTAAATAAGGACATTTTGTCCCTTTCCTATGAGAGGTAGGAGAGTCTCAACGTATATGAAGACAGAAAACCTCTCTAGATTTTATAATAATGCTATTATACCATCAGATAATGTAACAATTCATAGTCCACTATTGATTTATCTTCCAGTCTTACTAACTAGATATTAAACTATGTCATATTATATCATATTTTAATACTTGAGACACTTACAATAATTGTATCACAGGTTGAATATACCAAAAATGTATTGTTTCATATGTCTATTTCAGTGGTTTAACATTGCTCAATATGGGATATTTCATATAACAGACATTTAAGACACTGTAGCCATTTCTTCTGTCTCAACAAGAAGGCACTTTTAATAGCCTTAATCTTAAAAATTAGTGTGTTCCAAGATCTGAGGCATAAAAAGGACTTGACCTGACAATGGCTTTTCATAATCAAGAAGATTCTGCTGTTGCCTTGAAAAAAAAAAAAAGTTTATTTATTTACTTTTGAGAGAGAGAGAGACAGAGGAGAGTCCGGAGCAGGTTCCCAGCTGTCAGCTCAGAGCCTGACACAGGACCACAGGGCTTGATCTCACAAACTGTGAGGTCATGACCTGAGCTGAAATCAAGAGTTGGTTGCTTCACCCACTGAGGCACCCAGATGCCCTTGTTGTTTACCTTTTAGTAAGAAAATGTTGAAACATAAGTTTGGGTGATAATAAAATGCTAAAATCATCACTGATTTGATTGCTAATGTGAATTAGTAAACAAATGTACTAGGAAAAATGAAATGGAGTAAAAAGATTATAAGACCTCTCTCGTCTCCGCTAAGTCAAGAATTAGATCGATTTCTCATGGTCACATTTAATTTACTGATCTGTTTCTGGCGGTGTTACATTGATGATACATCCATTGTGTGGTATTTGACATCAAATGAGAGGAAAAGGTCAGCAATCAATAAGAAAGGCCTAGGATACAATCAAGCTCCCAGAGAAGAGTGCAAATTAAAAGTCAACAGAAAGAGTAGCTTTATTTCAGGGTTGTTTTTTTTTTTTTTTTTCTGATTAAACTATGCGTAATTGTCCTCTCACCTTAGTAGCTATCATTTCAAAATGGTGAATTGTGATAATTTCAGCAGATTCTGACCTCTAGTTCACATTCATAATATCTATCCATTAAGGATTTGTTTGTCAAATTTATTTTTGTTGTTGTGAACAAGGACTTTTTCAAGAGGCTTCGTAGATAGAATATAGATACTAATATTGATATTTATACATACATTAGATATATAGATAGATGTGTATATTAATAACAAAAATGAAAGAAAAGTTAATAGCACATATACAAATAAATAATACAGATAGTGTGCTATACCCTAGTTAAACATGCACATAGAACCTTTGGAAATACCTACTTACAAAAGAATTAACATTTTTCTACAAATTACTTATATTTATTCATTTACATTAATTACAAATAATTGCTAATTGGCAATATTCTATCAGCCATGTTTATTTTACTGTGTATTTTTTTGAAAAGCAATGAAAATTAAGTTGCTTTAAAAAATTTAATTTTGAGAGAGAGAGAGAGAGAGAGGGAGAGTGTGTGAAATTTTGAGAGAGAGAGAGAGAGAGAGAGAGAGGGAGAGTGTGTGAGCAGGAGAAGGACAGAGAGAGAGGGAGACACAGAATCTGAAGCAGGCTCCAGGCTCTGAGCTGTCAGCACAGAGCCCGATGTGGGTCTCGAACCCACAAATGGTGAGATCACGACCTAAGCCAAAGTCGGACTCTTAACTGACTGAGCCATCCAGGTGATCCGCTTTTTTTTTTTTAATATTAAAAAGAAACTTAATCTATTCCAGCTCAATATCAAATTAATAAGGTTTTACTAGAAGGTCTTGCTGTATCATTCTATCTGCTACTAGAATTATTATTTTTTAATTACATAACCTGATATATCTATTTAGCATGATATTTACTTGAATAGGTATTGAATAGAATGGTTAAACTAGGTAGTTATGGTGGAAAGAATAGCACTCTGTCAAAGCAAAACCAGGAAACTTCCTAACAGCTGAATAAAGTCTTTGAACATTTAAATTTGCCATGTGAAATACCCTTTTTTTTGCAATCACTATGAAATTTAGGTATCAAAATCAAATTCATTATAGTTGGATTTAAAACATCATTTGAATTTGATGTAACTCTTGAAAATGTTTTTTAGCACTAAAGTGGCAACTCATTGCATACCTTAAATTCGGCATTTATATACTTCCTGTAGTCATACAGTTCTAATGGAAAGTGAAATGCATGGAAAATCTTTGATGAAATCCTTGGAGACACTCAGAAGGAATTCAGAGGGAAAATGATTTAGGATCCTCAGTGCTAGAGTGCATTCTCTTGTTAGGATGTTTACTTCCCTTAAGTGTAGACCGGTGACTTCCATCTTGGTCCTATTGAAACCTATTAAAATACAGCTCTGTGTTGTGTTAAATGAGTCGAGACTTGTGAACTAAGTCGACATTTGGCCACTATTATTACATTCACAAAGGGAGACCTTCTAGAATAGATACTGCAAAAGGCATTCTCCTTGTCAGTATCATTTTCAATTCCATTGGTTTATCCATTATTCCTGACTCTTTATCTAACGTTGCATTTGGCGCCTTTACCTGCATAGTTTGTAAATTGTCTTGAAGAGCTACAGGATGGCAAGTACCGCAGAAATCCCAATGGAAGGATGTTTTAGCTTCCTGGTTCAAGAATTGTTTAAAATGAATGCCAAACTGACTGCATAATTATTTCCAGTGCAGATTAGACTGAGTGTTCATCCTCCACATTGGCATGCTTGCTTGCTGAAGGATTTGTTTTCTGTCACAAACAAAGAAGAATGAAACAGTTTGGGAGATTTATGAAGAAACCTTAATGTTTTCCTTTGAATTTTAGTAACTACACACTAAGGATTACCTTATATTAGTGATTTCATTTTTTTAGCAATTGGATTAGGCCCTTGAATCTGAGGCAGAGTGTCTAAATTGAATGATATCATCAGTGATGTAAATATATTCAACCCAAATTCATTGTTATTAAAACTGATCAAGGATTTGATAGGCTTAAAGATATTTATTTATTCACTGTTAAAACTATAACTATCACTTTTTTTTTCAGTAGGAATAAATGCCT